GGCAAGAACCCTCGCATGTTCCCTGGGGTGAATGCATATGGCTTGGAGATGCTTGGCTCGGAAGGTGACTTCGGCAAGGGCTGCCACGCGTCTCAAGAGAAAGACGCGATTCCTCCGTCTTCGGGTCTTTTGGATTGTGGAGCAACAGCCTCTGCAGGTCCGGAGGCCAGTGTGCAAAGGCTCATTGCATCTGTCATTGAGCAGGACCAAGGAGCCACGATCACTATCGATCAGTCCCGTCGCCCGTATTTCAGGTATGGCTCTGGGGCTTGGGGTCGTGCACTTTATCATGTCACTATCACCTCCAAGGTTAGCGGCTATGAGAAGCAGTTTGGGGTCTATGCACTGCCGAATCCTCCAGAGTTCGTTGAGCCTTGGTTCCGCCCACACATGTTGGTTCCTATCTTGGTAGGCATGAGTCACATTGGACCCGAGGGCGCAGGCATGATCATTGACTTTAATGATGGTTCCTTCTTGAATGCAGCCGACATAGCTAACAAACGTGAGCTACCACCAGAAGAAGCACGCCACCTACCCACAAACTCGAAAGGTCACTACATCCTCGATATCGCGACGTACCTCACGGGAGGCCAGACCTGCAAGTCTGGGCATTGTTCAGTTGTTGTGAAGCAGTCAGTGATGCCCGTTTCTACCGAGAGTGAGCCGTACCCTCTACCGGGCACTGATGAAGATCTTCCCCTCAAGTTCATGTATGCAATTGAGATGTTGGGTGCTGTGGTAGGAGAGGGCGTGGATCTTGATGTGAGCTCTGATTTCCGCAAGAATGCTTTGAGCAGCATGTTGCAGAAGCACTTGAATGCAAGCTCATCTTCAACAGATCTTTCCAGCTCGAGGATGAGCGGGCAGTCTAGACCCTCTCCTCATTTCGACAACGTCGTCTTCTCGGACAACCATGGCTCCAAAGAAGTCCTCACTTCCGGAGTTGGACTACGACCGGGCAGTGGGCCCGGACACGCGAGACCCAAGGGCCTTGCGGACGCAGTGGCCATGTTACGGCGAACAGCCGGAGCTTTCGGTGGGGAACAACAAATTCGCCCAGTGGAAGCATTGCGCCGTCTGCTGCTACAGGGTGTCCTATATTCCCAGGGAAGGCGCCCCAGGATCCGACAGCAAGACCGAGAATTTCCCCACCATCCGGAAGGCGCTGGCGCAGCTTCGCGAGGACATCGGAGATGTTCAGCCGGAAGGCGAGATGGTGAAGGTTGCGATCGACTTGGAGTATGCAAAGAATCGGTACCATCAGCTGATCCAGCGGTTCGATCGCAAGAGAGCTGTGTCCACGATGCCGGCGGCCAAGGGATCCAGCACATCAACTACGGTGTCGATGGCGGCTCGACCATCGGCCCATCCCAGCTTGAAGGGCGGCTACAAGGAGAAGAACCCCTCCGAGGACGGTGCCCTGATGAACCCGAACCTGGTGGACATGGAGGACGGACCACCCGCGAGACCATCTCCGAACTCGTCGACAACGAGTTGGTCAGTGATGGGGTCTCCCGAGCAGCAATGAAGGCCACGCTCCCAAAGAAGGTGGCCGCGGGGGTGATGGCGATGGTAGCCGTTTTGACCAACACCTACCGTGGCGAGCTACAGGCACTGACGACTCAGCGCAATCAGTGCAGTGTTTGGGAGATTGGTTGCAGCCCTGATTCCCTGCTCACCACAGCATGCCAGTCTGTAGGCCTGGGGACTTTGAGAATCAACCATGTGAACGGCTATGACCTGTACAAGGAGGAGACCTACCCGGCCTTGAAGACGCTCTTCGAGCAGCACCGTCCGCGCAGGATTTGGTTTTCTCCCCGGAGTGATCGGTGGCAACCCTGGGGTCACTTGAACCAGAACACCTGGCAGGCTCGCCAGAACTTGGAGGGCCGTCGGAGGCATGAACGCACCATGCTTCGCAGGATGTGCTCCTTTCTTTCATGGGCCATTGGTCGTTCATCACTCCTGGAGATTTTCTGGGAATGGCCCACCGAGAGTTTGGGATGGAAGGAGCCAGCTCTACGTGATCTCGAGCAAGCAATTTGGCGGCGCAACAAGGA